AAATAAGAATGCTAAAATGTATCAGGTCATGTAGCAGTTGTTAGCTTGATCTAACACCAAATTCTCGTGATTCATTTACAAGCAGCTAGAGGGGAGAATTAACAATCAGATCTTGGGAGTTAAAGGCTACAAGTGCCACCACAGTGAACAATCTACTCATTCTCTCTCAGCTCTAAGTGGATAAGCACTAAATGTAATCTACTACTTTTAACATCCTAAAACATAAACATCTTGAGGTGCATAGAAAATAAGCTGAGTTTACGCAGGTAAATAATTTCACTTTCCCTCTTTATCCAGCATTCCCAATGCTGGATAAAGCCAACTAAACTAAAAAACTCCCAATTAAAACGTGACCAGTAATGGCAGATGGTTTAGCCATTTAACCCTTGGGGAAATTAGCATGTCTTTTCCCACCAAGGTATCACTAGGCTCATAGCAATAAAGGAAATGATCTGAAACTTCAAAGCCTCTTGAATTTTAATTATTGTAAGTACAGGTTATGAAGAATATCACTTGCTGATGTTAGGGTGTTAAGGGTGATCAAAATAGTATATATATATATCATGCTAAGAAAAACAGAACATTTTAAAATCAAGGTTTAATAATTTCCTTCATGTATTATGATATTGGTGTACATCTTCAAGAAACAAACAGTTTAAAATGTGTTATTTGTGTTATCATAATGGTAACACACCACTAATGATTGCATATTAAATACGCCAACATTAGTGGTGTGCACCTTCAAGACACACACAGTTTAGCAATGCATGATTTGTGTTATCTTAATGGTACACTGATGTACCACACTACTAATGCTTGCATGCTCAATAAACCAAGCCTCGTCACTGTGCATTTTTAAGACACACACAGGTTTATATGAAGCAAAACATGATTTGTGTTATCTTAATGGAGACACACCACTAATGCTTGCATATTAAATACGCCAAGCCCTATTGGTGTGCATCTTCAAGACACACACAGTTAAGCAATACCAATATAAAAAGATCACAATAATTGGAACCCTGTGGATGGCAGAGTGCACAGCAACCTTACAATCACCAAGCCTTATTGGTGTGCACCTTTAAGACCCACACAGTTTGGCAATACATAGTTTGTACTATCTCAGTGGTAACACACCATTAATGCTCTCATATTAAATATGCCAAGATTTAGTGTGCAACCTTTAGGACACACACAGTTCATCAATACATATGCAGAGAGACCACAATAATTGGTTTCTTTTGGATGACGCAGCAGACAGGGACCTTAAAATCGCCACCCTTTCAGGGGCATCTTGCCCCATTGCGGGGTCTCTCCAATTGGGCTGAGTATTTACATTCACAATGTATGTTGTGACAATTTATGAGGCCCTGTCCACATTGGCCAAATTTGACATTGAACATCGTCATCATGTGAATTGTTCACACTAGTCCCAGCTGAAGACAGAGGTTTTAGAAAATATTGAAGTTGTTGTTTTTGGTAATTTCTAGGCAGGATATTATGACCCAAGGAAGTTATCGGTGGAACAGTCAAAATGAATCCTCTAACTCCTAAGAGTGATTGACATCTCATTTCTACTTGCAGTATCACAGCTAAATCAAACATTAAGGTGATGAGAACAAAAGATTTGATCACCAGTAAAAGACCCCCTTGATTGACACACAAATTCTCCTGGTCAGTACCATAGTAAATGTATGGAAAACAGTATGAAGAATATATGTATGTATACAGATGCTGGGGTGTAAAGAGTCTATTATTCTTGAACAAACATGTAATACAGATTTACAATAAGTTTTTTTCAGTTGAAAAATTTGGTTCTGGAAAACATGTTTTAATTAATTCTTACACATGTTTTGCTCCTGTGTTCATTCGCAGGTCATGCTTGATAAGACGAATGATGAATTTCAAGTCATTTGCAGAGCATCTAAAACAAAATAAAGACAAAAAAAAATAAAAAGAATTTACATTTGTATATGTCAAAGACTAGATATGCACAGCTGATGCATCAGGGAAAAAAAAAAGTTAGGTAATTTTAACAAAGATGTCAAAATCAATTAAGCAAAATATTAAAAATTAAGGTGGCACTGTACCTTCTTGTCATCTTAGTGAGTTCCCTCTGTTGATCATCTTCCTTTGTCAGAGTTTTCAATTTATCAAGAAACGCATCAACCTTGTATCAAAAGAACTAGTTAATTTGTAACAATTTAATTTCGCTTATGAGATTTAACGAAAAGGTACCTACATGTGTTACCTAGCAAAGTAACTTACCTCTAGTAATGAAATCAAACTCTTCTTTAGAGGTTTTAGCAGTGAACTGCTCTGAAAAAATGTGCTCAAAGTCTCTGATACATCACCCTGTGGAAGTGAATTAGGGTTTAATAAGACAAGTCTTATCTCTGAAAAAGAAAAACATCTTCACATTCTGTTGAAGTAACCCAAGTCTGCAGAAGAACTCTCCTATTAGAGGAATTAACACTAGCCCAGGTTCTAGGCACAGCAAAGCTTGAAAGAATAGATATGCTATTCTTTAAATATTATTTGAACAAAACAAGACAATTAGTGAAGTCAGTTTCCTTACTCAATATTACTGTACCTGCTCTAAGTCTGTTATCATGTCATCTTGGCTACATCCAAAAATCTAAAAAAAAATGTTCAAAGACGCATGATAACTATTAATCATTACCATGCATTTAAAAATATTTTACATCTATTGACAAAACTTGGGATTCAATATAACATACATAAGCAATTGTAAAGAATGCATAACTTTAGTCTTGTACTTATAGGGGTTATATTAGGTACAGAATCATACAGCTGTTTCAAGAAAGGTTGTCAGAAACAAAAAAGACAAAAGTAAATGCAACAAATTCTCAAAAGGTAACCTGCGTATCCAGTAATCAATGAATTTTGACAAGTCATATAAACAACTAAATTAATCAAACCCACTATGCCTTATTATCCTCTCTGATTTCCTTGAATTCCTGAGGTCAAAGAATGATCTGAAAACTACCAACAATACCTTTTGGAGTTGATGCATGCATTTTTAAGCTTTATTTAACACAACCTTTCTAAAAACAGCTGTATACAAGACAGGGCATGAAATTAACTTTTTTTTCTGATAGCCACTTGGCTCCTAATTCAAAAGAAGTTGGTCACCATTTTCAAAGACAAAAAAAAACTTTTTTTATGCTTCAGCATTGCAGATAAAGATCTTTTACATGCTGCAAAGTGGACACTAGGATGGATGATATACAACGTTCAAGCTCACGTAACTCCAAGATGGTGTCTAGTTATCAATCGAGAAGCATGTGCTGCATTTTGGAAACAACTTAACGAGAAAGTTTGCCACAGATTTATCTTTGCAACTCTTTTTAATTCACTATATCTCTTGGTAAGGTTATGATGAAACATTCTAGTTGCCAATTTGGCGACTAATTTTCAGGATTTGGTCATCAAAGTGAAAAATTTAGTCGCATTGGCGCCTGTATCAGGTGCAATTTCATGCCCTGCAAGATTGTTCATGTACTGTAACATTGTCACAGCTACCTGACTGTATAATTTAACGAGTTGTTTGCTTTGCAAGTTGTACACTCTCTTGTTGACTGCAGGCAGTAGTGTTTTCACCCACAGTGTCAAGTCTCCTGTAAATCCATCTGGGGGAAAATAAAGCTGATCTTAGCAAACACAAAAGCAGTAAACAACAGTTTACTACAAGTAGCTGTTTCTTGTAATAACTGATTCTGATGTACCTCCAGAGCTCCCCTTTGCAAAGAATTCAGACAAGATCTTGCTCTTGTTATTATAGCTTGGTTCTTCAGCCAGATTTATGCAGATTCTCCGGAATTCGTGAAAACTGTTGTCTTTACTGTGTTCATCAGTTTCCCCCTTGAGAGGTGATGAGCTGTGACTTCCACTGCCAGAGCTTGAAGACTTTTTACCATCTGCTGGACCAACCTTTGATGGAGTTGAGGGTTTTGGTTTTCCATATGGAAGAGTTGACTGTACAGCTTTCTTTTTAGGTGAAGACATTTTGACAGCTAGATCTTTAAAAAATACAAGACCATGTTAAGGAGAATCATTTCAAACATTAGCCAAGCAGAAATATGCTCTCATTCGTGCCCATCCTTAACCCTTTACTCCCTAACATTAATATGCATATTCTTCATACTGTTCTCTACACATTTCCTGAGGTGCTGACTAAGGAGAATTTGTCTATAATCACAAGCTTCTTTAATATTAGTTGGTGATCATTTTCTTTATTCTCATAACCTTAATGTTAGACTCAGTGATGCTACTGTAAGGAGAATAACAGTCACTTTCCGGGATTAAGCTTAATTAAGGTGGCATGAAAGAACGCCCAAGAAATTGTAACTATTACAGTAACTAAAGAGTTTGGATCCACGTTGAAACGGGATTGAAACCCACTTAGAAGACATTACAAACCTTTAATGAGGCTTAAAATTTTCGCCTGATCATCATCCTTGAGGTTCTCAAATCCGCCCAAATCATCAGTGCTGTCAATTTTCTTCGTTGTGGCACGGGCCCGGGACAGAGTATCGAAAATGCAAGGAACGTGGTACCATTGTTTCATCATCCCACCGTCCTCGCCGAATGGATTCGAAACCAGCTTTCCTATTCGAGTCACACTCTTCTCTATCTGTTGCTTGCAAGTTTTGCATTTAGCTCTTCCCTGTGCAGCATACTCCACCAAAAATGGCTTGTCTTCCGCGCCGTCCGCCATGATGTTCAGAGCTAAGACAATCCGTCGATGGTACAGGGTTGAGTTTTCCTTGACAAGCTGTATGCTACGTCTTGAAATCCCAAACATTTAAAATGAGTGGTAAAGGCATAATCATGACTTATTTATCGTTACTAAAGTTTGCTGACTTGCAAAACAAGAAGGCAAGTTCGTACTTGCATCTTTAAATCCTCCAGATGTAACCCACAGACTCGCCCCCACCTCCATTCATATTTACTCTTATATGAAGAGAAAGCTCATTCTCTTGATCACCGCTGGTAATTAGCTTTGGCAATTCAAAATGGACGACTTATTTGGCGACCTCCCTCCACCTTGTAATACTTAGAAAACTTTTCTGTTTGTTTTTATTTGTATTTATTTTTGTAATAGAGTGTGGAATTTTTTATTTTATTTCAGCAAGTGGAAATAACGAGTCGAGCTCAGCTGGAAATTTGTATGATGACCTTCCTTCATCGGAGAAAATTGAAGACAAGAAAAGGAAACTCGAAGCTACTGAAGAAGATGCTTGTACCCCAGCGAAAAGACCACTAAAACGTGAGGTTTTTGTGATAAAAACTGAGACGGTGTTACTTTAAGGGTAGAACACATGGCTTTTACGGTACACACCCTCTCGTGTCCTCCATTTAAGTCGATGATAATGAAAATGACAAAATTACACAATGTGCCACTATAAAACTATGCAATTTCCTCTAACTATATTTAACTTTTCGACACGACTGATATAGGTCTTAAAACCATTTAATGTTTAAGAACCTCCTCGCTTTAATGTCACAAGTAGTTACATGCAACTGATGAAAGACACACTTCGAATTCTTTGTGATGCAACCATTGTAGACAATAAACTCAAACATGTTTCATCTTTCTTTATTAGAATCTAAATACAGACTAAGGGGCTTTGTTGCCGAGAGGAAAGGAGAAAGAAATGACATGCAAGATGCTCATGTTATTAACAATGATTTCCTGGAAGAGTTTGGTGCAGACAAACCTCTTGGATTGTAAGTCTAAACAAGCAGGGTTTCTTTCAGATAAGTCATGGCAGGAGAAAACTGTAAAATTACAGGACAACTCTCTCCCCCCTTCAAAATGTGACCATAGAATTCTGCTTATTAGCCAAAGGAGTAGCCTCATTATAAGGGCTGCAAGAAGTGTGTTTCTCTACCTGCAGGAAGATTTGAGATGAGTCATTAAGGAGTGTGTGGGAGGTCTGCTACTAAAAGTCATTCTCAATGCTAGACCACTGGCAGAATTTTCGTTGACTCGCATAGCTCAATACCTCATAACTTTCTGTGGGCAAAGAAATATCCTTTTTTCAGAAGCACTATTAATATAATTATCTATCTATAACTATCAAAGTTACTAGCAACAGAGGTTAACTGAATAAAATCTTGGCTATAAGAGATTCTGCCTCTTATCTAATGAATTCTGAAATTGCAATTCTTGTCTTAGGATCTGCTATTAAACATTCTTTCCAGAGGAACCTTTTACTTCTTTGCCTACCAGAAAGAATCCTCATTCCTACAAGAAAGAATTCCAGATTCTTGTGGCAAGAGTTTCTGAAATTGCAATTCTGTTCATAAGATTTTTGACTAAATATTCTTTCCAGAAAAACTCTCTGCTTCATTGCCTGCTGAAAAGAATGCTTGTTCTTGAGAAAAGAATTCCCAATTCTTGCAGCAAGAGTTTCTGAAATTGCAATTCTATCCATGAGATTTGCAATTAAACATTCTTTCCAAAAGAACTCTCTACTTCATTACTTGCTGAAAAGAATTCTCGTTCTTGAGAAAAGAATTCCCAGTTCTACTTCATTACTTGCTGAAAAGAATTCTCGTTCTTGAGAAAAGAATTCCCAGTTCTTGGGGCAAGAGTTTCTGAAATGGAGATTCTTCTCAAGATACTCAGATGTAATGCATTCTTACCACAAGAATTCTCTTCTATAGTCAATCTTGTTCTTCTCATAAGAATTTTAGTTCTTAAGACAAGAATATGCTATTTGGGGAATTTAGGGTGAATGAGGATCCAGTCCTACTTATAAGTGACCAGTATGGAGAATATGCATACTGATGTAAGGTTGCAAAGGCCTAACCTGCAGACCAGGCACAATTTTGGGTGAGCAAGTGCCCAGTATTTTCTTGGTGAAATTTCTAGCTGCCATCCTTGAATTTTACAATGGAGGAAGGCTGGAGAGAGGGAAAAAAATGTAAGAAGGGGGTGAGTGACAGTCAAAAGGAAGGAGAGGGGAGGGAATGAAGTAAGTTAACTGGCTCTAATAAGACAGTGGCACTGTAGGCTAACAAAGGGTCAAACAAGCTTGTGTTAATGTTTCTTTATTGTTTGTCTTGTGCTTGTAGCTCTCGGATGTGTTACTATGGAGTGTTTGATGGACATGCTGGCCCCAAAGCTGCTCAGTTTGCAGCTGAACACCTGCACAAGAACATTGTGCTCAAGTTTCCAAAAGGTTGATGGTAAATTGATGGCAAACTTTAGTTTACTTATCGACTTACTGTTAGTAATTTTTGACTTCCTGTGAGTTTTATGTTGACTTCCTCTTTGACACTTTTCTTTCCATGTACAGGAGAAGCTGCTAACAAAGACAAAGAGATAAAAAGATGTGTAACAGATGCATATAAAAAGACTGATGAAGAGTTTCTGCTAGAAGCATCAAAGGCGTAAGTCTCTAGTTATCACTGGTAATTGTAGTTGATTTCTCAGTGATACGGAAGTCAACACTCAATTTTGATTTTAAAAAAAAAAATTAAAGGGTGCAGTCTGTAAAAAAGCCTAGCTGCTCATTCAGCCAGAGCTCATTTCAGTTTCTGTGGCGTGAAACTATTCAGATTATTGCTACTCCTCCCCTCAACTCCTGGATGAGATGCCAGTCCATGGGAGGTTAAACCCAGCATTTTGTCTGACTTCTAGAACAGTTCACAAGTATCATTTATAATCCTGGGCCCAGTTGTTTGAAGATGAAATTTTAACTTGGGTTTCTCTATTCCTCTGTTCAAAATCCTTTTTGGGGTGATTTTCTGTAATAATCATATTCTAGACAAAAAGAATTCAACTGAATTTTCTTTTAAAGTGTTCAGATCTGAAATCAGATTTCACACGAACCCTGGGTTATCTTGACCCAGCTTTGCACAATGGTACACTGGATGAAGTAAGGCACTGTGAATCAGGGTAAAACATGTTGCCCTAATTTCTCCATACTTAAAAATGATTAACAAGGTTCACTTTTAACATTGCATAGGTCACCAGTTTGGAAAGATGGATCAACTGCTGTCACTGCCCTTGTTATGGATGATGTTTTGTATGTTGCAAACCTTGGTGATAGCAGGGTACTGTTGAATTATCACGTACATTTACCTTTGATTTATTTTTAAATGAATGATCAGCTGAATTATACCCGCATTTTGATTGGCTATTACTTTTTGTATGTTTTATTGGAGGAAAGATGCATATTGAAATAAAATAAAGAAAGTTATGCTTTTTTATCATATAATACAATACTTTATTTCAAAATAACAAGTACTTTTTACAACAAGCCCTGTTAATAAGAAAAAGGAAACCCAGAGGTTAACCCTATATTAAAGATCTTCAAAAAAAGTAAAATATATTTAAAAAAATGAATAAAAAGTTTACATCATAAAAAAGCACATTAATGAAAATATATGAGAATCACAGAAATTTCATAAAAAAGTATAGAATGTCCATTTAATAAATATTCATGTGATTCTTCAATCTTAGTTTAAACTTGTTGATGTTTGGACTATCATGGCAATTTATTACGTTACATGGAAGATCGTTCCAAAACAAATAGGTTCCATGTCGCTGTGTTTCCATACAGTTATAGATCAGAGAAGACCGTCATCAAAATGTGGTTAGAGAATCAGTGACACACTCAGCTGTACCTCCTGTGCCACTTTTTTGTTCTTACCACATTATGACCTCATCTGTGATCTATTACTGGACACAGACATATGGGAACATGGAATCTATTTGTTGAATTTACCACTTTTTCTGAAGAATTTTTTTTAAGGTGGCTATGATGAAAGTGGTCAATGCATTCAACAATTTCTGTCAGGATTCTTAAAGTAAATGACTAATAACTGAGTATGAATGTTTGCTCGTGACCTACAGGCACTTCTTTGTCGTTGTGGTGAAAATGGAGAGACATCAGTGGTTTCTCTTTCCAAGGATCATTCTCCATCTCAGGTAAGGATTATGTACATGTACACGTACTTTTTGACTGAGCATCGTCGGGTTGGACGGGAAAATATTTGGCTCGAGGTCCTGACGTACGGACCAAGCGCTACGAGGTTTGATCTTCACGGCTGAGAGAAAAATATTTTCTTATCCGACCAAACTCAGTCAATAGGCATTTTATCATGTGACCGCTTCGAAAAATTTTGTGTCAACTTAATAAAGACGCGATGGACGGGCGCAAGTGGGACAACCACTAAAAAGATTTTACAAAAAATGACTTTTCCATTGTTTTTTTCGAGTCAGAACAAGAAAATCACAATTCATCAAAAAACTTTTTTTTTTGGCTATTTTCGTTTTTCCTTGGAGTTTTTACAAAAAAGCCGTGTTCGCAAAGGGCTGGACAGCTCTTTCTGGACCGGCTCTCGTCAACCCGTGCGGCCCTGCGCATGTCAGCTTTCAGTATGGTTTTCCATGGGACTACGCCCACGGTGCCGTACGGGTCATTTGATAAATATGCTGAATGATGACGAAACCACTTATTTTTATCACCTAAAAAAACTTTAGTTGATCTCTTGAATGTTATTTCTTTGCAGTATGAGGAAAGGATGAGGATTCAAAAGGCTGGAGGAACTGTCAGGTAGAAAGCAAAAATTGGCCTCCTTACTAAAAATGATAAACGATTTAAGGAAAATAAAAAGAATAGGAAAAAGTCAGAGTTGGGTATCTTCACTGATGATCCTGAAGGAAGATAACTTTGGCATAAGTTATCGAAACCTTAGTTATTCTCACCGACGGCAGTTTTTTTTTTTTCCCGAAGGGGTACTCCCACATGGACAATCTGCTAACGAGATCGTCAATATCTTCTTTGTCAAACTGTCAAAAAAGAAGACGGATCTTCTTTGTCAAATAATTTTCAAAAAGGAAGACGGCCCGGCAACGGGAAGAAACCAGTAAAAACGAACTTTGTTTTTACCAGACTTTGTTCTTATGTTTTTCAGGGAAGGTCGAGTTCTTGGTGTCTTAGAAGTGTCGCGTTCAATCGGAGATGGTAGATTTAAGAGATGTGGAGTCAGCTGTATCCCGGACGTCATGAGGTGCACTCTAACAGACAACGACAGGTATGTTTCTGGTCAGAGCAGGGCCTGGAGACGAATCTATAATTGCCCAGTGATCCTCGCCTAAATCAAAACCTTGGCGAGACTTGTTACCCTATGTTTATTTCTCTGTGAAGTTTCAAGTTTGCTGAAGCAAATTTTGTGATCATTACATTTTTACCCGTAGATATTTACTTCTAGCTTGCGATGGTCTATGGAAGGGATTTTCAGTAGATTCTGCCTTAAAATTCATTAACAACATTTTGGAGGTAAGTTGTACTGTTAAGGTAGTCCTCGAGTTGTTTTAAACCCTGATCATACGATTAGACACCACAGCTTATTTCAAAATGTTTTTTAAATCACCGACTAAAGTTACTTTTAATCGTTCAGATATACGTGATATAGAAAATTGTGGAAAGTGCGAGGACCTCGCTGTTTTGCATAAATGAAATCGTGACGATTACCGCCAAATTGTACCGCATATGCCCTTTTTTCACTTATAATCTTAACTTAAATGCTGCATGATTTCTCTGGTGTAAAGTTTATCCGAGGCCGCCGCTTATTGGAAAGTAATACGGGATTTCATTGGTTCTGTTTTGCAGCGCTCAATTGTTGGTATAGAAAACTGGCGCCATCTTTCCAAGCAATCGGTTGCAAAACTGAAACCTCTCTCCTCACCCTCGCTCTCGTTTTCCCACGCTTGCAGCTGATGACGTGTGGCTTTTTTGTAATTTAGCAGTTTGTTCTGATTGGACTTTAGGGTGATTTTTGGGTTTTTATGACATAAAATTGAAAAAGTTCTCTCGCTAAAATGATATCTTTGCTCACCTTTTTTATTTCCACAGACAGAAAATAGCGAAGAAACTTCCCAAAAGACCGAGAACAACACAGGTGTGTAATTTATCCGTTACGTACCATCCGTTTGCTTTTTAATTTGGCAACACTGCCAAGTTCGTTCCCTAATGTCTCTCAAGAGCGAAAACAAGAGAGAGCCTGGCTACAAGTAAGGCATAGTGAAAGTTGTAATGGCTCACCCTGAAACTTTTGCAGGTCTGGAAGATGTACAACTCGACCCAGTTTCCGCGCGCTTCCAGGACGCGTGTAACAAAATCGCTAGTGAAGCCATCAGGAATGGAAGTTCTGATAACGTCACTGTGATGCTGGTATCAATTACAAAGCAGTAGTTTTGCCATCTGCCTCCCCACCCCCTTCGTCGTAGGATCTGTATTTCGCCAATGAGAGTTACCTTTATCAAGATAAATTGGCAATTAGCAGCATGCCATGATAGCACGAAACTGTCAATATTTGCGTGGTATGTGTTGTGCAAGTAAGAAGTCAGAAGTTCATTTTACTTTATACATAACGTATGGAGATTTTCCATGAATATCAAGTAGAACGACTTGTAACTATGATCAAAACAAACTGGAAAACTGATGGAAAGTCAAGAGGCTCCTTGGTTGTACATTCTGGACTGACGAGTAACTTTATTTCCAACTTGGAAATCTACACTTTACATCTGTAAGCTACATGTAATGTGTCTGTAAATAGATAGTTCAAAGTTGAATCCAAATTCCAATTTACTCTGCCCGTAGATTATTTTGCATTGTCTCGTTCGCCTTCCATTGTCCGTCTGCAAGATTCCCTCTTATTTTACTAAAGACCTAGCGACTTTATAACAGACCAATTACAAGACGGTTCGAGTTCTCAGAAATCTTCACTTGCAACTGGCGTCACGTTGCCTGGAAACCTTTTTGAACGCTTCAAACCGCAGGGTATTAAGTATATGGTGTGCTGGCGCTACGATAGGAAACTCAACGTGATCATAACAGAAAGGAAAAAATAACTTGAATGCTTTCCTTCCCTCGCTCTTCTTCGCCGCTTTCTAATTTCATTTCATGGCCAGTGCTCTCAACCTGTTGATGGCAGCGGCGATCTCGTGAAGTCTGGGGCGAGAATAGCAGCCAAGAGGAAGTCTGGGACTGAGTACGTCTAGACCTTTGGTGTTAAAGTCTTGCTCCACCCTTAACAAGAAAGATTCAAATAGAAACAAGTTTTATAGCTATATAAGTTGACAACAAGAAAGAGAGAGGGACTTATTTCCTAACATAATTTGAATAAATTGCGGTGTTTTACAATTACCATTTACAATTAGCTGTAACTGCACACGTGTCACATTACAATCAATATTCCTTTTTTAACTGTCAGCTGCTGACACGTCACTCGCCTTTCGCCCCACTTAGTCTGGTTCAATTCAAAGCGTTCACCATTCTCGTTCATTAATAAAGACGACGTTTTTTGTCAGTAAAGCCCTTTGGTGTTTGTATAATAAAGGAAATAAAGATCAATATCAGTATCTGGGCAACTGCCCACCTACCCCTCCCCTGACCCAACAACAGGTTGGGGAGGGGTAGGTGGGCAGTTGCCCAGATACTGATATTGATCCGAAAATAATATATGATTGCCTGTAGATACGGAATTTCTCTTCTAGTGTTCGACTGGATATTTCATGAGTGATGGCGCAGAAAATGAGTGAGACATCGAGTTGAACACGAGAAGAGCAGTTCTATATCTACGTGCGCTCACCTATTATTCTCTACAGAGAGAAGATTTGCACGAAAGACGTTGGTAAGTTATCTTAAAAGATATATCATACCAAGGTGTACTTACCTTTGCAACACTTTCAGAAGCGATGTCTTTCCGTCCATATAATTATTCCTTGCGTACAGAATAGTATCTCCTATGGCCCTTGATCAGACAGTGGGAAAAAAGAAAGTAAATCTACGCTTAAATGGTTTATTATCCACCTACATTTAATAATCTTACGTGAAAGTGAAGAAAAGCATCACGTCTACAGAAGCCTGGTTCAACGGAAGCGAGAAGAAGAGGTTATACCTCGTTTGACTGAACTCTCCCAGCTGCTCAATAAACGAGAGATCGATTTCTTCGTTACCAAACTGCACCTGGAAACCAAACTGCGTCTTTCCCCTCACTTTCACCTGAAAGTCAAACGATTACAACAATTCCCTTAAAAAAAAGCTAGGATGGGCAGAGAAAAGAATAACAGCTTAAGCTACTTTTCTTACCCGTTGATATCAGGAAGCCAATATGAACTATTAATTCAGGGTTGGTACACATAATCAAGAAAAAAACTTCAAGACTGATTTAAAACCACTAAATCCATTTTTCAGCCTCAAGATTAGGACTCGCACTACAAGCCCAGAGCATGACAGCGGTTGTATTAGGAGTGACCCGACACAGAAAAAAAAATTCTAAAAAAAAGGAAGATAAACTCGCGGGAATTCTGCTTCATTGAAAATTCTCCTCTCAGCAATTCAACACTTCTTTTAAAAAATTCACAACTATACGAACTAAGATATTGTTAACATCAGATACATTAATTTTAACCAAACCTTCTCTCTGTCTCCGATTGTAGCGTCAAAACTTTCAGCTATGGGAATCCGAGGCGCAGGCATAACAAACGGACTGCGAGACTGAGGACTGATCTCCTTATGCTCCATAGCAATGGCCTATACAACGGCAAGGAACAACAACGGGAAAGAGTTTTGTTAGTTGAAACATCATGTACCTGGTAAAATACGGGAAAAAGTAGAAAGGGCGGGAAAACAATCCGCAACAGGAAAAAAGCGCGGGAAAATGTGACATTCGCGAAAAGGCGCGGGAAAGTGACTTCAGAGAAAAAGCGCGGGAAAACGTGACCTTGGTGAAAAGTGCGGCAAAAGGTGACTGCTACGCTTCCATAAGTGCACACATATCGGGCTTGTCTCTTCCAACGTTTCCTGCAGGTTTTTAGAACAGATTCAATGTTTCCCTCGCGCTTAAACTTGTTGCATTCCTCGCTCTCACGTTCACCTCAGATTGTTTTGTTCAGCTCTTTCTTCTATCAACATCGAATCTGCGCACTAACCTTTGCTTGATCTGTGACGTCACGCGAAGAGTAACAGTCCATCATGATCACGTGATCAGCAACCTTTGAGACAAAAGGGGTACAAAGAAAGAGAAACAGAGAGCTCATATTTTACTTTGAGTTAAATCTATGTTAAGCGAGATTCAAAGAAGTACCCCTGTCATATGAGGTTTGTCAAGCCAAGAAATTTGGTCTTTGTATTGTGATGTTCAAATTATCGAAGTTGTAAACTAAGACAATGGAAAATCGTAGGACCTTGCTCCTTCACTGAATAAGGTACTTTTTAATTTAGTGTTGAATAACCAAAACAAAAGTAATCAAATAACAGAAGTTTACATTATGTTATCTTTAGCCAACGACATGTTAAGTTCATTTTATTTTTGCATCTGATTGGTTGAGAAGATAGTTTGAACTAAAGTTAGAGAAAAACAAAGTAATTCCCGGGTTGTTTTCGACCCCTAGTTGAAAATCATTCTATCATAAATACTGTTTACCTGAAAATAATCTCCTGAGCCTCCTATAACGAGGATCGACGAGACCCCAAAGTCGTCGAACAAGCTACGAACCTGAGAGCACAAACAAGATCATAGAGGTGTTGAACGTTCAAGTTTTAGATGTAATTTTGACACAATTAAGTTATTAAATGCGTTCTCCTTGAAACAAGCTTGTATCTCCTAGTCCCAATCTCCTTGGCTTGCATACAGACGTCAAGTATGCCATTCTTCTTTGTCTTCGCTGTCATCAAAAATCAACGTGAGCCCTGTTGGTTCTTGAACATCACTTCTTGCCCTTTATCCCCGCGCGTACGTTCGCGTTTCCACTTAACAAAAATCAAGAACTCACCTTCGATATAAAAGGAGTGATTGGTTCCTTTTCAGCAGCAACCAGCTTCTGCATGCGGGCATCTCGAATCATAAAATTCGTTGCGCTTGTATCCTGAGTAAGGAGAAGCGGAAGTTCAGATTGCATTTCATCTGATTGTCGAAAAACCAAAACCCAAGTAATCACAAAGGCGTTGAGTTGAAAATTTTGCAAGTTGTCAGATTCAGAACGAAATGTTCTGTTGCACAATACTTCAAGGACATATCAACATTTAAAAATTAACTTTAGCGGGTCAAAAAATTGTCCGAAAACGGCAAAGCCCTCCTGAAATCAGAAGTTTTCATTTTCCCGCCATATATCGAATCGCGTTTGGGAATCGTAATATTGTTCATTTGAAAGCCCTATTTTTTTTCCCTTTTAAGGCATAAGTGTCCACTTCTTTCCAAATCCAGTATCCTTCCGCAAATTTGCTCTTTGTTTTGAGCAACTTAAGGTCTATCTGAATCGATATGAAACGGAAAAAACCATCTTGAAAGTCTCGAAACTCGCAGCCACACCAGACGGGAACTTTACTGTCAATCATTTCTTTGCTGACGTCAAAGGCGTGCACAATAAAACTATGAGGCACGCTCGCGCAGTTGAATTTTATTACACAAATGTTGCTATCTTTGTTTTATAATCACTTTGCGGTGAACTTAAGATTTTATCGATAACTTTTACCCTACAACCCGCTAATGCAACCAACTACTCGTGAATATTAACTATCAAAATAATCACCTCATCAATTAGCAAGCACTTGCTCTCAATTTCCAAAGCCTCGACAATATTTGCAGCTTGTGTAGTCGAGCCGCTGCCATCCTGGGTACAAAACTTGCTCGTGTCTCGACCAAAAGGTAAGTTGTTTATGAATGGCCGTATGTCTACTTTCTCTATACTTCTACCTAAACACAGTAAACATAAAAATGAAAACGTTCCTAGATTCACAATACAGTGTCCTAAAAAACAAGGCAAAGAGCTAACAACCAGAGGTGCGCACACGTTCTGTGCGCCGAACGAGCAAAGAGATTACGAAAGATGGAGCGAACGAGCGCACAAGCGTACGGGCGAGCCAGGGAACAGTTCAGGAACAGCAGGCGAGCGCACGAG